GTTGCCAGGAAACATACAACACAAATAGCATCATGTTGCGCGATTTTTCTGAGGTGGACAATGAGCTGGAAACATTCCTGGTAGATCATGGTTATTTTAAGATATCCATGCCGGATAATAATATCGTAAACGATCTCTCGTGGAATAATCAAGAAGAATTTTATTCCCGTTTATCTAAATGGTCGAAAGCGCATTTCCGGAAAAATGTAAAGCGTCATCTCGACAAATTTATCGTAACAATTGAAGCTTACCCTACGGAAGAACAAATAGACCACTGGTATTCACTTTATCAGAATGTGAAGAACAATAGTCTCGATCTGAATACTTTTACCTTACCGCGTCAGCTTTTTAAATATATCGCCATTGACCCATCCTGGGAAGTGGTGTCATTAAAACTCAAATCCAACGATAGCGAACACCCTGCAACGGCAGCCGTTGTATTCTGTCACAAGTCAGGCGAGCATTATGCACCCATGATCATTGGCCTCGATTACATTTGTAATAAAGAATACAAAGTCTACAGGCAGGCACTTTACCAACTGGTGATGCGTGGCAAAGCGCTTGGCAAAAAATCTATCCGTCTAGGATTTTCAGCCCAGGAAGAAAAGAAGAAAGTTGGTGCTGCTCAATTTCCCGTTTATGCATTCATGCAAACGCGGGATAGCTATAATGCCCAGGCGCTCGCTACCATGAACCTCGCTATGCAAGCCTGATAACCCACTGCTATATCGCTATTTCGTTCAGTATCCGTTAAACCCTGTCCTGCATTTTTTTTAAACGAAATCAATTCCAGAGAATGAAATTGACAAGGGGCGAGTTCTGCCAGTTCAGCGTATCCGCACGCTGTGAACTGCTAAAAGAATTCGGTAAACGTGTGTTGAAAAGAAATTTCGACACCAGACAGGTATCCATATACCGCATTTTTGATTTTTATGTTGAGGTCTTTGAACATCCGCAAAGTAAACGGGTAGAAAAGGTCGAACCATTGCTGCATCGTTCGCTTTTGGACATATTTCAGCAGGTCTATTGATAAAAAATCAGTATAAAGACGTAGTCATTACACGCCTTTAGGCGTAACAAATGAATACCTGTGATGCTTAATTTTAGTGCGGAATTATTTGA